AAGACCCGCCAGGCCAAGAAGACCCTCCCCCATCCACTGCCACTCCCTGCCCACAACCCCATATCAGGGAAGGTGGGAGCATTACCTGAGAGGAAAATCGGCTTGTTTTCTTTCCTGGCCTTGTCGAAGGCTTCCTGTCCCCAGGGGTACCTAGGCCCAGCAGGGTGGGGCATCACTCAGTAGCCCAGGGGGTCTGGGAGGGGTCTAGGACCCCAGTGATTCCAGGCAGGGCCCCAGGAGAGTGCTCACCAGTCCACAGGATTGTAGGCATGTTGTAGGAGGTATGGTGACTTCTCGTGGATCAGGCGGTTGGGGACCCTCTGGGGTGTAGACGAAGGATGGCTTCCCTTCCCTCCAGCAGGCATGGGCACTGAACTACTGACCGTCGCACTTCGGTCCTTGTCCCGGGAGGAGCTACCCCTGGCGAGGACTGGTGCATCAGGCAAGCTGGGGGCCTCCACCCACCTTATCCCAGGCCCCCCAGCACCTGCCCCATTCCACTCAGCACCCCGGTAGGACCGCTGCTCCCAGCCCAACCCACCTTTCTGAACCATGGGGGAGACTGTGGCCTTTGTGCTCCCCCTTATGTTTTTTGGGGGATGAGGAGAGGTGGCTCATTGGGGGCTCCTTGCCAGGTTAGTCTCCCCCAACCTCCTGGACCTGGTGGTGGGAAGGATGGCTGTGAGGTCAGGGCGGGTCACAATGGGCAGAATGGTTCTTGGGGCTCCATTCTTACCCCTCCCGGGGCCCCTCCCCGGGCCCTTCCTGGAGCAGCTGCTTGGAGGCATCTCTCTGGCAGGCCTGGGTGTGGCCCCACCGGAAGGCAGCCCACTGTTGGTGGCTGCACAGGCCAAGAGCAGTAGGGTCTGGGACTGGACCAGGTGAGGGACAAACAGAGGAAACTAGACATGGGGACTCCCTCACTCAACGCCCACCTGCTGGGATTCCTGTGGGGCCAGGTCCTGGGCCAGACCCCAGGACACCTAAGGAATCAGAGACCTCAGAGAGTTCAGCCTGGAAGTGGGCAGTGCAAGCTGACCTAAATAACGAAAGGTCCATGCAGCAATAAAGGGCTGTGACAGGACACAGGGTACTATTGGAGAAAGGCCCTTGACCCAGCATCCAGCGCTGGGGTGCAAGGAAGGCTTCCTGGAAGCGGTGTTAGAACAGTCCCTGGGGAGTTGGCACTGCACTGGAAGGAAGGGGAGGGGAGGGAAGGGAAAGAATGAGGACGGGAGGGGAGGGGAGGGGAGGAGGACCTTACTGCCAGGGCCAGGTCTCAGAAGCATACTGGAGGTGGGGTGGGGGAAGGGCCAGGCATGCAAGGGTCGTCCAGACAGGCACTGGGGACCGGTGCCCGGGAGACCCTCCACTGAGCCTGCAGGCAAGCGCAGGGAGTGCCCGTACCTGCGGCTCGCGGCGAGGCCTACACCGGCGCGGGGTAGCAGAAGGACGCTGCCCAACCAGGCCCGTGCGCCCAGCATGGCTGCTCCGGGCCTTGGGCCCGGCCGCTACGGATAGGAAGGGAGGGCAGGAGACTGTGAGGGGCGGGTCGGGCACCCATGGAGCCGCGGGCGGGTCTTCGCTGGGACTTGGGACAGTGTGGCTGGTCTCCGAGCATCACCCTGCGGCTGAGCACAGAATTGCAGATCAGGCACTCCGGCCTTGGGAGAACCCATTCTGTGCATAAAATTGGGCTCTGCCCCTGCCTGGAGAGGACAGCCCTTCTCATGGGAACAGGGAGAGTTGTGGGATCCAGGGCTGGGGGATGCTAGGGCCATGGGATGCCAGAGCTTCAGCTCATTTTGTCCAACCCCTGCCCCTTTTACAAATGAGAAATGAGATGCAAGGCAAAGGCGTACCTTGGCCAGGTCCACCAGCTAACAAGCTTTGTTGCAACCTCCTCATCTCTCCGTCCTACTCAAATCCTACCCACTCCAGGAAGCCTTCCTTAAATAATACTGATGAGCCCATTTTATGTCTCATAGGTTACACATGGCCTCATTGGCTACATTCAGCCAATATCTATTAAGTGTCTGCCGTCTGCTGCTCTGTAAGGCACTGGGTATACAAAGGTGGGCAGAGAGAAATGAGGCTCCTGCCCTCACATGGCTCACAGTCTGTTGAGAGCGGCAGATGCTAATTCAACAGCCATACCGATGAATCTATAAACACCCACGTGACAAGTCCGTGAGGGTACAACATAACAAGTGACCTGATCTGGTGGAAGGGGCAAAGGATGAAGGCTTCCCTGAGGAAATCACATTTGTGAAGACATGGAGGATGAGAGGAAGGAACTTAGAGGGCGCTCAAGGGGAGTACTGGGGAAGGAGGCAGAGGTACAGTTTGTGCAAAGGCCCTGTGGCTTGTCAGTGAGTGAGGGGTGAGCAACTGCAGAAGGAGGGAAGACAGGGAGTAGATGAGGGCAGAGGCAAGATCTTGGAGAGACTCGTGAACTGTGAGAAGGGGATTTTTATTTTTTGAGATGGAGTCTTGCTCTGTCACCCAGGCTGGAGTGGAGTGGTGTGATCTCGGCTCACTGCAACCTCTGCATCCTGGGTTCAAGGCTGGTCTTGAACTCCTGACCTCAGGTGATCCATCTGTCTTGGCTTCCCAAAGTGCTGGGATTACAGGCATGAGCCACCGTGCCTGACTCAATTTTTTTTTTTTTTTTAAGACGGGATCGCGCTCTGTCGCCCAAGCTGGAGTGCAGTGGTTTGATCTTGGCTCTCTCTTGCAGAGAGAGGTCCTTTGCTGACCTCCAGCCCTAGGTTCAAGCGATTCTTGTGCCTCAGCCTCCCAAGTAGCTGGGACTACAGGCGCGTGCCACCACGCCCAGCTAATTTTTGTATTTTTAGTAGAGACGGGGTTTTGCCATGTTGCCTAGGCTGGTCTCAAACTCCTGACCTCAAGTGATCCATCTGCCTCAGCCTCCCAAGCGCTGGGATTACAGGTGTGAGCCACTGTGTCTGGCCAGAGAAGAGGATTTTTGATGATAGTAGAAGCAAGCTGTTGAAAGGCTTTAGTCAGGAGGGTGACCTGGTTGGATCTGCATTTTGGAAAGATCCCATCAGCTTCCCAGTGGAGAATGAACTGGAAAGGCACAAGAGTGAAAGCGGGGGCAGATAGAAGGCTATAGCAGCACCCAGGGGAGATGGGAGAGCGGAGATGCAGAGAAGGGGATGGGCTGGAGGTCGGTCAAGGAGGAAACGTCATCAGGATTGGCAGCGACAAAGAAGGCGGTATCCAGGGTGACTTGGAAGGTGGGACCACTCCCTTAAGAGAGGGCATGGGGTGGGGAGCGGGGACAACTCATGGGGTTCATTGTTGGACCTGCGGGTTTGAGATGTGCACATGGAGACAGTGATGACACTGCTCGGAGCACAGAGGAGAGGCTGTCAGGAGAGAGGATTGGGGGTCTTGACTGTTGAGATCATGTGGGTGTGGAGCTGATTCAGGGAGACCGTGCAGCAGAGCAGAGAAGAGGGCTCAGGTCCAGGCTTGAGTGAGCCTGTGAAAGACACAGATAGAGGTCGGGCGCGGTGGCTCACGCCTGTAATCCCAACACTTTGGGAGGCCGAGGAGGGTGGATCATCTGAGGTTGGGAGTTGGAGACCAACCTGACCAACATGGAGAAACCCCATCTCTCCTAAAAATACAAAATTAGCCGGACATGGTGGCGCATGCCTATAATCCCAGCTACTTGGGAGGCTGAGGCAGGAGAACTGCTTGAACCCGGAGGCGGAGGTTACAGTGAGCCAAGATTTCACTATTGAACTCCAGCCTGGGCAACAAGAGCGAAACTCCATCTCAAAAAAAAAAAAAAAAAGAAAGAAAAAGAAAGACACAGACGGGGAGCAGCCAGGGTGCAAAGGAAACCCAGACAGGGCAGCACGCCAGAGACGAAGGACAGAGTGTCTACATGTCAGACTTCTGAGGGGCCAGCCTGGCTAGGACAGAAAAACGTCCACGGGGCTTCAGCAACATGGAGGCCATTGGTGTGCTTAGTGGGCGTCGTTCTAGTGAAGTCAGGCTGACAGCAGAAGTCGACCAGTCAGCTGAGGAGGAAGAGGAAAGGGAGGGGAAACAGAGAGAGATGATGCGTGCTTGACATGAGGGGAAAGTTGGGAAGACACTGTCAAGATGGATGGAGCTAATTAAGACACATTTCGATGGGAAGGATTCATCTGAGAGAAAGTGGTGGACGCCATCGAGGATAGAAGAGGTGGTGGTCCTGGGTGGCCCTGAGAATGTGGGGTGTGGCAGGTTGTTGGACAGGTTGGCTAGCCGGAGGGTCCAGCGGGTGCTCGAAATAACATGTTCTGGCTAGAAGGAATGAGGTTAAGCTCAGAGAGCCGGAAGCCTGCCTTGAATGTAGAGTAATTTGGGGTGATGACAAACCTCCAAGTGTGACCACGGTGAGGGTCACTGAGAGGTCAAGGGGCCGTAAGGTCCTTGGATAATGGAGCGACTTGAACTTGAAATTGAGGTAAGAGCTGGATGAGAAGACCATGAGCCAAGACCGAAGCATCCCAAAAATGAGGTGGAGTGGCAGCCCCAGGCAGGGAGGAGACAGAATGACCTATGGCACCACCCTCCTAGCAGGAGGGGTCTTGTAGGGAGGGAGGCAGGAAGCAAGGCTATCAACCTCTTCTTTGTGGGAGACAAAACAGCTCCCCTTGGGAGATCTCAGGGGGATCCAGTTTAGAAGAAGAGAGACTGGGTGGCAGGGCCACAAAGGCTGGGTCAGGGGACAAGAAGGATGGAATCATCCCAGGTTTGGGTGTAGCAGAAGATATTAATAGATGGGTGCTGGACTCTGGGTATTGCCTGGCAAAACCAGGAGTGAAAGGCATGATGGGTTCGTGCCTCATGGTCAGTCTCTAAAGAGGGTGGGCCCTGAGCTGAATGGACACGGGCCTGGGGGCATCCACATAGCAACCTCATCAGGAAGAAACTTCTGATCCCATTTGACAAGTAAGGAAACACAGGCACAGAGACAGGGAGAGGGTAAGTAATTTACTCAAGGTCACAGAGCATAACCACTTATTACTAAGTGATTCTTGTCAGGGTCAAACCTTGGAGCAGAACTTTGAGCCCTGTCAGTTTGACTCCTGAGCAGGTGTTCTTGTCCATCCTGTCTGTAACTGCCATTGTGGGACTCCCTTCCTCTACCCCCACCTTAGGAAGGGGAGTGGCATTGTGTCCCTTCACTCACCGACTTTGGTGGAAGGTCATTTGTCCCTAAAGGGGATGGGGGCTGGCTGCAGGCTGCCTGCAGAGCCAGGCCCCAAGCACTGAGGACACATCAGTGTCCAGTGGTCCAGTGATCAGGGAGCATTGAGAAGAAAAAGAGGCAAGGCTGGTCATAGGGGCCCCTCCTGGATTGAGTACCAGGCCTCACCCCACCCTTGGTTTCCCAGACTCCACATAAACCCCTAGAAGGGGTCTGATTCCCCCTCTGTGGCTGAGACTGAGTTTCTCACCAGCCTTGGTGAAGCAAGGGAGAAGGCAGAGTTAGATTTAAGGTGACTCAGTAAAACAAAGGAGCCTGGGAGTTCCTGCACTTGGCTCCTGCCACAGCCGCATCACGTGCCCCTGACTTGTCTACCCTGCTGCCCCCTGGCTTGTCTACCCTGCTGCGCTCAAGCTCCTGGAGGTTGGATCCTTCCCAGGTGAGCCCAGCACTTTGTCCACAGCAGTCAGTCAATATTTGCTGAATTAATTCTGGGGCCCTGCCTGGGAGCTCCTGGCCTTGGAGCCAGACTGTCTGACTCTGAGTTCCAGCCCCGCCCCATGTCAGCTTTGTGACTTTGAGCATGCCATTTAACGTGAGCCTCGGTTTCCTTGCCTGAAAAATGGGAGTAGTACCGGCTGCAAGGTGAGAGATCTGTGCAATCGCCCTGCAGTGGGCTTTGCACTTGGTTTCCTGCTCTGCTGTCCCTGTTTTGAAATTCTTCACACGATTTTGAACAAGGAGCCCTCACATTTTCATTTTGTATTGAGCCCCACAAATTATGTAGCCAGGGTCCCGAACGGAATTAACAATATCGTCTACCTCAGAGAGTCGTTGCAAGGATTAAATAAGCTGATCTGCTTAGCACATAAGCAGTACCCAATAAATAGGAACAAAGGCCTATTGTCTCTTGCTGTTAGCTCAGCCCCAGTGCCCATGTGTGATAAATGAATGAAATGACCGAATTGAGTGACAGCCTGGGAGCGTCTGGAAGCGAAGGTGCCTGGGTGACGGGGGATGGAGGTGAGGGTTGAGAGGAGCTGTAAAGGAAGCGGGGGCAGTTTTGCACCCCGCGTTGTGCAGCTGCAGTTTCCTAGACAGCCGGTGATCCACGCTGTGGTCGAGACCCGGCCGCCACACCTCGCAAAAAGTCCACTTGGTGACAGCTGAGAACTAGGGTTCCAGTCTTTATTATGCGGGCGTTCAGTCTCTAGCTCCCGGGCCGTGGTCCATGTCCAGCTTCTGGAGCCCCCGCGTGATTCCAGCCGCCACTGGTTCAGCGACCCACTAGCACCCGCGCCCCGCCCCAGCCCCGGGTCCGGAGGCGGGGCCGCGGGGCGCCTGGCGCATGCGCAGGCCGGCCCGCGGCGGGGTGGCGCTCAGAGGAAGGGGTTCGTGCCGGTCTGCGGGGGCGGGGCCAGCGGCCCGGCTGAGCTCGGCGTGGGCAGCAGCGGCTGCGGCAGGCCCGTTGGGGGCGGTGCGAAGGCTCCGGCCTGCGGGAAGACGCTAACCGAGGCAGGGAGGGTCAAGCCGGCTGGCACGCTACTGAGCGGGAGGGGCAGAGAGGCGCTGTAGGTCATGGAGCCCAGGGGCGCCCCCACGGGCCCGCCCGCCAGGCCCAGCGCCGGCGACCCCGTGCGCATCTGGTTTAGCGTTGGCCTGCCCGGCTCGCCCGCGCCGAACGGGTTGGTGGGGGACGGAGCGCTGAGACCTGCAGAACGAGAGTGGCTTGGAGCGACCCGGGATTCAGAGCCCTACACCGGGAGGTCTTGGAAGTTGGGAAGGAGAGTGAGCTCCTCCGGCCGAGGCTAGGCTCTGAAAGCAGGAGCCCCTGGATTGAGGGACGTCTTACCTGTCAGAAAGGGGTTCCGGGCCTTTGCAGCCTGGGGTGCCTTGACCAACGAGTCAAGGTTGACCAAGGAAGAGGCCGAGGGGCCCAGGAAGGACTCTGGAGTCCGGCAAGCTCGGGCCTCTTTGCTTGGCTGGATTAGTGCTTCCCCTAGTATGCCCAGGTCCAGGGCATCTGGCTCCTTCGTGCCATTTTGCTTGGAACTGGGGCTGGGATCTCCAAACAGGTCCAGCTCTGGAATAGAAATGCTAGAGCTCGTTGGTGGGGAGAGGGATTGGCGCCCGATGTGGGAGGAAGAGGACAGAGGCTGCTTGGGGTGGGCCCCTTGTTCCCCAGAGCCTCACCATCCCCTTGCCCCACTCACCCGCAGGGCTGCTGGGCTTCCCAGAGGGCAGGTCCTGCTCCAGCCCCTCCTTGATCTCTGTGGATTCTGGAGGTTTGGCAAATGAGTCAAAGGCCGAGGCAGCACCTACAGCTGGGGGAAGAGAGGGAGAGGAGATGGATTGGCAAAAAGAGCAGGTGCTGGTCTAACCCCTTTCCAGAGAAGCTACCCTCGTAACACATACAGTATCTGCTGCCCCCTTGGCTCTGCCTGGAAGTCCTCCAGCCCCTCACTCACATGCTCTGGCCCTCTTCTTACCAGGTGTGTCGGAGGTCTCAATGGAGGCTCCCCAAGGGTCAGCCCCAGTGCTGGGGAGTTTGTGGTGGGGAGAGTTCAGTGCCCAGGGGTCTGTGGTGGGGGGCCCAGCAGGCAGCACTGGGGTCCTGCCCCAGGGCTCAGAGGAGGAGAGCATGGGAGTCAGATCCCAGGGCTGGCTTCGGGACAGGATGGTTCCTGAGGGGATCGGAGACCAGGGGTCTGCAGAAGGCCCCCAGGAGGAGCCACTGGTCTCTGTGTTCGGCCTAAAACCTGAAATGGGAACAGCATAGACATGATCCCAGGCCCACCCTTATCCCTTGCCCAGGGCACTTCCCAGTTACCCAGCCCAAATCGGGAGGCAGGGGATCCATGTCACAAATGGACTGTGGCCTCAGGACCCCCCAGCAGGCTGGAGCCCGTATTTGGCAAGTGACCCCAGGAACTGGGACCTGCAGGTGTGGGTGACTCAGGCCACCTTCCCAGGCAGGGACATGCTGAGCAAGTGAGTGCAGCGAGAGAACATTTGCTGTGTTTCCTAGGAGCTGGGCCCTTCAGACATTCTCCATAGCCCTCACTATGAAAGCCCGTCCCACAGGCGGTGGAGGCTCAAGGTGGTGAGTGACTTGCCCAGTGACACTCAGATGTTGTGGGGAGGTGGGGAGGTGCTTGGCCCAGCAAGTGGTTGGGAAGGAGGGGGCATTCAGGCCAGCCTCTTTGGAAGTCTCTTGCAGCCCTGCATGCCCACCTGGGATGTCCCATGGGTCAGCAGAGCAGTGTGTGGAGGGCGGGGCCAGGGCAGGTACGAAGATGTCAGCCAAGTCCAGGATGGAGGACTGTGGAGGGGAGAGGCAGCCGGGGCTCAGAAGTGGGTGGGGCCTGGAGGGAGGGCAGGCCCTGACCTGTCAGGCTAATGCCAGCTCATTCTCTTTATTCATTCCACAGATACCTATTCATGATCCCTCACCTCGACATAGTGCTTTACAGTTTATAATGTTTCTTCATCCACAGAGTACCTGATTTTCATAACAACCCTGTGAGGTAGGTAGGGCAGGTGATGTGCCCATTTTATGGATGAGCCAGCCAGCGCACAGAGGGTGGAATGGGTTTGCCTGAAGTCACAGAGCGGGGATAGAATCCAGGCCAGCAGAAAGGGGCAGGAAGGCCAAAGGCAGATGTTTTTCAACCAGCCTACCTCCCTAGGTCAGTGTCCAAGAGAAATTGGCCACAGTGAACATGGGCGGAAAGGAGACCGCAGCATCCGGGCATGACATGGACAGCTTTGGAGGGCAGCCTTGCACTCAGCAGCTGCTCACTCCCCATGTGGAGAAAATATGTCCATGAGCCCGCGGTGTTTTCAGCACCATGTGCCTGGGCCCTCCTTAGTCTTGATCGACCGTATCACATAATCCTAACATATCAGAGCTGGAACTATCCAATAAGCACACTGTGCAGAAGGGGAAACTGAGGCCATGACAGTGACATGCCCCAAGTCATAGAGTAAGTGGCAGCAAATTCAGAACCCAAATCCAGGGGTCTCTGATCAGGATCCCTGTGCATCCCACTTTGCTGTTAACTCAGTCATCAGCCCGTGCAGGGTGGGACTAGGGCTGCTACACCCTCACACCTATTTCATCTAATAAACATGTCAGTGCTTACTATATGCCAAGCACTACTCTGCTCTCTCTTTACAAATACTCAGTCCATGTCTCAGGCCCTGTCCATCCCACGCACCCCAGCCCACTCCCTACCTGGCTGGTTTTTAGTTTCTCTTCCTCCTTTTTCTCTTCTCTCTCGGTCTCTCTGTCCCGCCGATGGTGGACGGCAGGCCCTGCACCATTGGCCATGGGGGAGCCATCACCCCGCCAGGATTTCACCTCCTGCAGAAGGCACAGAAAGGGTCAGGAGCATGAGCGGCGCAGGCTGGAATCCGGGGACCTGTGCACCCGAGGCTGGAGTCGAGAGAGTGCAGGTGGGAGGCAGCTGAGAGGTTAGGAGCGGCAGGGCCACCGGGTACAGCAGGAGGAGCCTGTTAGTGCCCTGAAGCACCTCCACCACCAGCAGCAACAGCAGCACCGGCGGCCGGGAGGGCTCAGCCCACTACCTTCTCGTGCTCCTGCCGGCTCAGGCGCAGAGCCAGCTGCAGCTGCAGGTCCTCATCCCTGTGGGAGGCTGGGGGGACAGGCTGCGGAGGAAGAGAGGTGTGAACTTGGCCCTGTACTCCCACCTTGGGAGCAGAAGGGCAGTATAGCCCTGCCTGGGTCATGGGGATGGAGAGACAGATGCCCAGCCTCAGTATGCATGGGCCGTTTGCCCCTCAGTCAGCAGGGTGGGCGTGGCCTTCTCCCTGCCTGCATCTGAAATGCAGTTTAAAGATCAGGAAGACTGATCTTTTGCTTCTGAGTCCTCTGAGAGTTCTCTAGGCCCTCCTGTGTGAGGCCCAGCTGCTTCCTCCCTGGTCTTCCTGGATCCACAGAGGTAGTGGCAAAGTTGATGATATCGGGGGCCCATCCTTGTCTCCCCACGAGGATAGCTGGTGGGCAGGGGCGGGCAGCATATCCCAGTGTCTCCTAGCAATGTCTGAGCTCACTCACCCCTTCCACCATGAGGTGGTAGCAGGCCCCCCAAGACACATCAGGTGCCCCTAATTGCACACTCGCTACTCTTTCCAGGTCAGGTGGAGAGGACTGGAGGCGGGGAGGCAGTCCCTGCCTGCGACAGACCGACAGAGACAGTGGGTCTTGTGCTGTCCTTGGGCACAGGAGTGGGGCTTCGGGTGACAGAGCCTGAGTCAAGGCTGAGGGGCTCCCAGGTATTCTCCCTCTAGCCCATCCCCTCCCCACCACAGTGGGGTTGCGTGGCCTCACCTTCTCTGCCTCCTCACGGCTCATGGCTAGGGCCAGCTGCAGCTGCAGTTCCTCTTCCCCTGATGTCTGAGGCCGGGCCTGCTCCAGGTCGGAGGTATAGCGGGGTGACGAAGAGGAGGCTGCAACGACCATCATGTCTCTGTGACCACACGATTACCCATTAGCTTCCACACCCCTCTGCCTGCCAGGAAGCTGAGGCTCAAAGAAGAGAACTGAGAGGAGGGGAACAACAGGCCGTGGAGGCCCCCGTGGGCCAGGCAGTGTGCTGGGCACTCTCTGTAAGTTCCCCATCCCACCCTGTCCCGGTGGGACGGCTCCAATCCCTCCTTAGCAGATGCACAGGCAGCACTTAGGGCATCTGACCAGGGTCTTCAAGCAGGACTTGAACCCAGGTGCCCTGACTCCAGCTCTTGGACTTCCAGATGGACCCTGTCCTGCCTGGGGGCAAGGGAAGTGCAAGGATAGGAGGTTCTAGTCCAACGAGGTCACAGCCTCACAGCCCTCAGCAAACTGTCAAAGGCTTTAGGGAAGGCGGGCCATTCTGAGTATTCCTCAGATCGGGGAAGCCCCCACAACTCAGGGCAGGACAGTCAGGGACTGTCCGGCAGCTGCCCTCAGGTAGGGGGATGAAGGGGAATGCCATACGTCTGGGCTCGGGGTAGAGGACATTGCTGAGCCTGGTCTCACTTCATTCTCAAATCAAACAGTGGAGGTAGGTGAGCTTATCTCCACTGTACAGATGAGGAAACTGAGGTTCAGAGAACTGGTTGCCCAGGTCACACAGCTTGGAGGAAGCAGAATAAAGAATGCTATCTGTCTCCAAACCCATGCTTCCACCATCATGCCATCCTATCAGGCAGCTAACGAATGATGATGAATCTGTAACAACATTATTATCTGAGCTAACTTGTTGAGCACCTCCTATGTGCCGGGTGTTGTGCCTTGCATGTTACATTCCTTATGTCTGAATCCTCGTAACACCCCTCGGAGGTAGGTATTATGAACCATGGCTTGGATTGCAGAGCCAGGATTGGAAGTCGGGCCACCTCCCCATCCCAGCCACACGCTGGGGCTCACTCACAGTTGTAGGAGGACGGGGAGCCCCGGGAGCGGCCGTAGTCCTCGCCGTAGCGGCGGCTGAAGCCCAGCTGCCCACTGCCAATGCCGATGCCCTCCAGTGCCATGCGCTCCTTGGTCTTGAGGGCATGGGTTCGCTCCTGCCGCAGCCGCTCCTCATCCTTGAGCAGGGCCATCACTTGCTTGACCTTCTCGCGCACGTTGACACCCTGGTCCTTGCCATCGCGGTCAATGTACTGGAAGTCCTTGAGTGTCTGGATGGTGTAGAGGTTCTCGCGGCACTGGTGGGCCACCCGCTCAGAGCCTGTCTTGAGCAGGTAGTCCAGCAATGTCAGAGCCTTGTACACGTGCCGCCAGTTCTTGCCGCTGTCATTGAGCCGCCGCCACAGCATGCCCATGACCTCGGTGAAAGCCACTGTGTTGAAGGTCAGGTCAGCGATCTCGGACATAAGCGAACTGGGGGGGCCCCAGGGGTCATTGCTGGTGGCCTCGCGCACCTTGATTTCCGCCTCGGAATAGTTGTGCACGATGTTCTTCACCTGGCGCCGGAGCGCGGAGGTCGTCATGGCTGGAGACTTGGAGGTGGGTGGCCCTCGCCCCCACTGGATATGGAGGGCTGAGGGCCACTGTGGTGAGGTCACGGTCTCGAAGGATGGGCCGCTGTGTTCTCAGCAAAGCAGCTGCGTCCTTGGGTTCCACATGGGGCTGAGGAAGAAAGGGCCAGGAATTCAGGGGCAAAGGCCTACCTTACAGGTCACTCAGCCACTGACCAAGTAAATGAGGCCTGGCCAGAGTGTCCCTGCCTCCAGGGATAGCCTTCAGCGGCACATGTTCTTATTTCACTTACAATGCAGCAGGCACTTGGAGCTTTGCATGCTCATCTATCTTCACAGTCACACCACAAAGATGCTATTGTCATTGTTTCCATCCACAGATGGGAAAGGTAGGGCTTAGAGTATTAAATGGGCCTGGCACAGTGGGTCATGCCTGTAATTCCAGGACTTCAGGAGGCCAAGGCAAGAGGATCACTTGAGGCCAGGAGCTGGAGGCTGCAGTGAGCCATGATCGTGCCAGTGCACTCCCACCTGGGCACCAGAGTGAGACCCTGTAATATTAAGTGACTTGTCCGAGATCACAGAGCTGCTACATGGGGGACCAAGACGACCCTAGGAAGCCCCACCTAAGAGTGCATGGCCTCATAGGGGAATGCTAACGGGATTCCAGGAAGGCTCGCTTGCCTTGCTTCTGCTACGCCACTGCCTCTGTTTCTGCTGAGATCTAGCTTAAGACCTGTCCTTCCCAGCTCCTCAGCTCACTTTTCTCATATTGTTAATTTTTGTAGTTTGGTGCATTCAACACCTATTTCCTGGAGGCCTTTTCTGAGCCAGGCATCATGCCAGGCACAGAACACACGCCTTGGTCCACCCACGTTCAGTTGAGAGGGTACAGAAAATCACAGTCCAGTGTGGGAGTGCAGAGCCGCCCAGGAAGACCCAAGCCAGGAAAATCAGGGGAGACTTCCTAGAGGAGGTGGTGGCGGAGCTGAGATCCAAGATCCAAGGGAAGAGTAAGGAGGAGTGAACCAGCAAGTCAGGGGAGCTCAGAAGAAATGCTGTGAACTGGGCCAGAAGGCAAGAAAGCAAGGATCATTTGAGGAAGGCTGCCCCTCAGAGATCTGGCCAAAGCCAACACTCCCGCCTGCCACCACCACTGCCACCCCCCACTTACACATGAAAGTGTTGAGGCCAGAGAAGGGATGAGACCTGCGTGCGTATGGCACGTAAGTGGCAGAGCCTCGACCAACATCTAGGTCTCCAGAAGACTAATCCAATCCTTATTGTCAGTGTTACCCAGCTTAGTCATTAATTCATCGGTTTGCTTTACTGTCTCAGTCCCACCTTCTCAGCTAGAATGGAAGCTCCCTGAAAGTAGGAACAGTCTGGGTTCTCCAAAGCCCCAAAGCCCTGGACACATGGTGGACCTCTGCTACCCCAGCAGGGAGAAAAGCCAGGCCAGCCCAATTCGCCCCTAATAGCCGCAGGTCCAAGCTGTCTGCTGAATACAACCCCAGGCCCCAGGTCCTCCCAAGGCCCTTTCAGAAACCAAAAGAGGAATTCCCTGACCACCACCATTCCTCCCACACTAGCGCTGGTCTGTGCATGCACACACACACTGGCTGGGCCTGCAGAGCTTCCACTTCACCCGTGAACTCTCCCCCACCCACCAAACAACTCTCGGCTCCACCCTCCATCCCAGCCCTTGCCCCAGCTGGTCCCCAGGCTGCCAGAAGCAGGAATCTGAAGGGGACCTTCCCCCACCCGACACCATGTTCCTTCCACCCCAGCCCCGCCAGTGCTGGGCTCAGTTAAAAGCGGCCCCACGCTTTGAAAACACGCCTTGGCAGGTTTTGTTTGGGGCCCAGAGAATAGGATCCCGTGGGAGCAGACGAGGTGGAGAGTGCCTGGCCCACAGCGCAGCCTACCTTTTGTCTCCTGTCTGTCTTTCCTTCCAGCGGGTGGTGGGCCTTCTGTGGGGATGCCACCGCCACAACTTGTTTAACTCCTGCCCTCCCCCTTGCTAGTGACTCAGACCTGCCTTCACCTCCCCATCCCGTGGCTGGGGGTGGCAGAGTCAAGATGGGAAATGATGTGCACCAAAGCCCGCCCAGCGCACACCCCTACCGGCTGGCCACTGGAAGTAGCAGAACCAGTCGAGCACTGACTCCACCAGAGCCCTACCTGGACCTGGCTGCCCTGGCCCTCCGGCCCGGCCCAGGTAGGGGCACCAGCCTCTGGAAGGGGACTCTCAGTGTGGGCCCAGCGGCCCTGCCTGGACCTTTCTCACAGGAGGTGGGCATTCTCTGCACACCCCTGCAGGGGCTGGGGGGAAGTGTGGGGTCAGAAACATGAGGAGGCACCTTGATATTCCTTCTCTGGAGTTTGAGGGAACACGGTGAGGCTGCCAGAGCACAGAGAGGGGAGGAGGAAAGGAAGGAACGCGGGAGGGAGCAGCTGGGAGCGCTGCCAGCAGTGTTACAAGCAAAGGGTTTTATCGAACACAATATGCCCAGAAATAAAAGGGAGTGAAACAGAAACTCAGCGGCCGATAAGGCAGTGGCGGTAGCAGCAGCAGCCCTGGGCAGCTGGAGATGGAATTACTGCAGTGACCTTGAGCCGGACCCTGTCAGGTGGAGGGAAGGGCACAGAGAGGGCAGGGCCTGAGAATTCAGAGATGAGGGAGAGGACAGAGGAAGGAGGAGGCTGAGGCGATGGGAGCATGGCCAGCAGGCGGTGGGATGGGCCACGGGGCATGGAGTATCAGCTCTCGCCTACATACAGGGTCCCAAGGAGAACTGCGCAGTAGGGAGGGGCTGCTCTTCTCAGGGCCTGCAGGATGGGGGGATCTGGAGAGCTTCCCAAAAGTCAGGACCGAAAAACGCAGCTCGCTCGTCCCCAGCAAGGGCTTCAGAGAAATGGAAAGAACCCAAATCTGTCCAGTCACACGTGCATGAGTTTGCGCAAAGTCTGTGCACCCACCAGCCCAGCCCACACCCCATTCCCGTCCTCTGCTAAGGTGGGCTCCAGCCCCTGCCTCCAAATCAGGTCCAGCCTGAGCAGTGGGGAATGACAGTGCCCTTCTTGATGCTGTAGGAATGGGGGTGAGCTTGAGCTCTAAGCTTCTGGCCACTGTAACAGCTGCCTCCTGGGAGCACAGGAGATGGGGGAGGGGGGCTACCCTGAGGCTAGAGGTGTGCATGAGGGGCTGAGGAAGAGGAAACAGCAGAGATGTGCAGAAGGAGTCTGTGGGGAATGCCACCAAAGATACTAAGTCCCAGGATGGATGGGGAGGGGGCCCTGAGTCCCTTTCTGGGGGCTGCAGGGAGGGAGGGGTGGCAGGAACGAAGCCTTTAGGTCCTCTACAGTTCAGCCTTCTCCCTCGCACCTGGAAAAGAGACTAAGCCCCAAGCCCACTCTTTGCTCCCCACCAACTCCCACCTTCCATGCCGCCACTGCCAGGGAGGGGGCCAGGGAGGAGCTTACCTCCAGTGCGGGCTCCCTCGGCCCCAGCCCCGGCCCGAGTAGCCTCTGCGGTGACCCTCCAACCTGTGCAGCAGGGGGACGGCACAGCCTCGGGAGCGTCTCCAGAGCCATCCACCATGGACCCTCGTCCCAGAGACCCACCTGCTCCCAGGAGGCGCAGACCCCTCAGAGGGGCAGCGGCAGGGTCCCTGGAATGGGTAGCAGCTCTTCCCGCGTGCGTTTGCCTCCTAGCCAGCGCCAGGCAGCACTCCGAGGAAAGTTGCTCAGCTGGCCCGGCAGGTCTGCCTCAGCAGTAACAGGACACAGGAGGAAGCGCAGGGCAGGTTAACCCCTTCCTGCTGGCCAAGCAGGTGGTGCATTGAGAGGTGGGGGGCCTGCCTGTTGGCCGCCCCCAGGAAGTGCAGATCTGGAGCCAGTGCTGGTGACCCGATCCCCTCTGCTTTGAGTTAACCCTTCCCCTGCCTCTTCAACGGGAAAGGAGGGGGGCTCCAACACCCCCACCACATCACTCCCCTTCCTCCTTTGGGCCAGGAGGACATTAAAGGAGAGGGTAGGGCCATTCCCTGGGGCTGGCTTTTTGGTGGAGCCCCTGCCTTCTAGGGGAGGAGGGCATCAGGACTCCAGCACAGCCCCCTCCCTGCCTTTCCCACACGGAGTCAGATCCTGCTCTCCATCCTCCTTCTGCATCTCAACTGGAGGATCCCTGAGGCCCACTTAAGGACGCCCACCCACCCATAAACCAAAGTTGTTCTTCAAACTCTGGGAGCCTGGAGTGCTGTTCACATGGGGAACCCAGTCCCAAATGGTTATGACTGACAGAAGACAATGATGGGCATGAGTCTGAGCTGACAGTACCTTTCCGAGAGCCATTTCTAGCCTGTTTCATGTTCCCTTGAGCAAGGGAGGTAGCATGAAGATCAGCAGCTGTTTTTAAGGCAGAAAGATGGCTCAAGGCCAGATAGTTTGAGATGAGGAGGGGATAAGGAAGACTAGACCCCAAAATAACAAGGTGATGTGGCCTCTAGAGCTGAAGAGGTGTGGTGAGCATGATCTGCAGGGACTGAGTTAGGGCCCTGGGACCCAGCTGAAGGGAGATAGCAGGGAGCCAGGTCCCATGGGTCTAGTTCTACTCCTCATCTCACATTTTGTCATACTTGGTGATGACACTTCGGGAAGACCTGGCTCCAGGAAGCATGACCCTAAAAGTTTGGGACAAGGAAGCCAGAGGCAGGGACTACCAGAGGTGACACACTGTGTCCTGTCACCTGACTCCTTGTCTTGCTACCAACCCGCTCTTCTGCTTGGCATCCCTCACATCACCTCCCCAGCTATGTCTGTCTCTCCTCCTGCTGGAGGGCTCTGGCAGCTGGCAGGAGGGAATCTGAGGGCAGACGGGACATGGGAGGACCTGGAACAGGAGATGACCTAGCCAAGATCCATCATGTAAGACACAGAGGCACACAGAAGTAGTAGAAACTTGAAGGTTCTTTATTATTTATTAACCCGTTTTCCAGAAGGTTGCTTGGGCCCGAGAGTCACCTGCAGAGACGCAAAGGTTCCTCGACATTCTTTATGGGGCTGAGCTCATCAGCCAGGACCATCAGGTTGGTCACCAGGGTGTCCAGCAGCCCATGGACCTGGAAGAACGGGACAACGTCACAGGCAGGGTTTGCTCTGTGGGAAGCACCTATATATCAACTGTGCTGTGGGAGAATAGCTGGAGAGGGGAAAGAAACCAGTTGTTTGTGAAAGAATTTCACAAGTTCAAAGTTCTTCTGAAATAATTTTTGGTTTTGCCTTTTTTTTTTTTTAAGACAGGATCTCTCTGTCACCTGGGCTGAAGTCCAGTGGTGTGATCATGGCTCACTGCAAGCCTTGACTTCTCTGGCTCAGGTGATTCTCCCACCTCAGCCTCCCAAGTAACTGGGACTACAGGCGTGCACCACCACACCTGGCTAATTTTTTTCTATTTTTTTTTTAGAGATGGAGTTTCACCACATTGCCCAGGCTAGTCTTGAACTCCTGGGCTCAAGCAATCCACCTGCTTTTGCAGTTTTATTTTTGAAACCAATCTGGGGAGGTGGCCCTGCGCCGGTACCTTTGACATATGGAGGCACTGGAGCCAGGTTGTTAAAGGGGAACTCCAGGGATCCCATGGAGCAGTGCCCATTTAGCTGTTTGGGGTAGGCCTGGGCTCAGTCCCAGTTCTACTCTGGTCTTCTGGAGGCCAATTTTCCTTCCTGTATGATAACAGATCCACACACTGAAAGGTCTCTGGGACTGAGCCCTCCAATGGGGTTGGATCATACAAGCCCAGGCAAGTTGATTCTTTTTTTTATTTTTTTCTGAAGAGATGGGGTCTCCCTGTGTTGTCTAGGCTGATGTCGAACTCCTGGGCTCAAGCAATCCACCTGCCTCAGCCTCCCAAAGTGCTAGGATTATAGGTGTGAGCCACCGGTGCCTGGCCAGCAAATTGATTCTCTTTTTCTTTCTTTTTTTTTTTTTTTTTGGAGATAAGAGTCTTGCTCTGTCACCCAGGCTGGAGTAAAATGGTATGATCTCAGCTCACTGCAACCTCCACTTCCCGGGTTCAAGCGATTCTTGTGCCTCAGTCACCCAAGTAGCTGGGACTATAGGTGAGTGTCATGCCTGGCTAATTTTTTGTATTTTTAGTAGAAACGGGATCTCACCATGTTGCCCAGGCTGGTCTCAAACGCCTGAGCTCAGGCAATCTGCCCACCTTGGCCTCCCAAAGTGCTAGGATTACAGGCATGAGCCACTGCACCTGGTCTGCTAGTTGATTCTTAATATCAAAGAGCCATGGAAGGGTCGACCCCCGTGGGTCCTCAGAGCCCTTTAATTACTTTCTAGACCCCATCAACCATCAGATATCTTAGTGATGTCACCAGTGGCAAAGGGAACTTTTGATCAAATGAGATCCAGAGTGTGAACACATACATGATGTAATCCCAGCTCCCCAGGTGTCCACCTTAGAAGAATACAAGGCGTGGCCATTAGACATACTGATATATTGAAAATGGCTTTGTGGACCTCCCTTCCAAAACAACAACAGTAGCAAAAAAAAACAAAACGGAAAACCTGGGTGAATCTCTAAGGACCTGCTACTTAAGAACGGATTAGGATGAAGTCTCTCTAGTCCTTCAAAAACCTTACAGTTGATGGGAATGCACCCCACATGGTGTTCTCCCAAGGAACACGTCTGCCAGGATGCACCTAACAGGGAGTAAGTGGAAGCAGCATAAAGAGAAGGGCTTCCTTCCTCTTTGTTCCCCTAGAGTCTGTTCTCCAAAGGGCAGCCAGAGCCATCTTCTAAAGCCTATCAGACCCTATCGCGTTGCTCTTCAAAACCTTGCATGACTTCTCATTTCCACTCCGAAAAATCCCAAGTCTTCACAGTAGCCTACAAACCATCCCTCACCCCTATGACCTGTTCCCCATCTACCACCCTGTCCCTTCTGGCCCCTCCCTCCTGTGGCAGTTGCTCCCCCTGCCTAAAGCACTCTTCACTGGACGTCCATTTGGCCTCCCTTCCTCTCCCTTCAAGTCTTCGTGGGTTGTCACCTCCTCACTGAGGCCTCTGTGCCTCCATTCCCTGCCTGGTCTATCTTCTCTCACATCATGCTCATCACCTAACACGCTAGGCACATTTCTTATTCATGAGGCCTGTCTCACACACGAGGATGCCCTTCCTGAAGCAGCTCTGCTTCCACCATGATGGAGTGGGCACTTATTGTTTGCAGACTGAACAGAATGAATGAGGCAGGTGGGAGGCGGGGGAATGGCTGCTGGGTGCTTCCCTTCACCTCGCTGTGCAGCCTCTGGGTGTATTTCTCCATGACCAGGGGGTCTATGGGTTCTTGAGAAGGGAGGTTGATGTCAGGGATAGGGTCTTCCGAGGAAAACCTGTCCCGACTTGCAGATTTTATGACTTTCTTGTCGTCCTTTGCCCTGTGCTTCTTGCTGTTGGGACGGTCCTGCTGTGAGAGGGAGACACACACAGCCTTCAGGAGCACCAGAGGTAGGCCCAGGGTGTCCTCAACAGTAGCTCACTGGGAGAGCCTGGGCACATGCCCACCTCCACAGCCCCCACATCTGCAGCCCCTCCAATCCCCTCCCCAGCCCCACCTGGCCCAGACCACGCCCCAGCATGACTCCTTCCCGAGTACCCTGGCTCCTTTCTTGTCTTCTTTGTCTTTGATCCCCAGTTGCTTCTTTTCCTGGGCTGCTCCTTTCCGCTCCTCCTTCCCAACTTTCCCCACAGGTACCTTCACTTCCATGATGGCAGGTGATTTTTGATCTAAGGGAGGTGGGTGGAAGAAAATGTGGCAGGCCCCCGGCAGCCTAGTGGATGCTGCAGGCACGTGAGGAGGCTTGAGGGGAGGTGGAAAAGCAAAGGACAATAGCCTTGAGCCCTGGTAGGCGCGTGACTTCATGAAACAGGACTGTCGTGTTTCTGTGTTCTGGTCCCGGCTCTGCCATGCTCCCATGAACGACCATGGATAAGTCATTTAACTTTGCTGGGATTACTAAACCAAGGTGGTCACTAAGGTAGCTTCTGGGTACCACATCCTGGCAGCTGACAGAAGGGGGTAAGGGGCTTACTCCATGGACTCAGCCTAGCAGAGCTTCCACCATAGGAGTATGACTGGCCCAGGCACTGCTGCCTGTCCATTCAGAGAGATGAGGAGGGCTATGCAGAGGTGTGGTTGGTTGCACAAGATCTGACCTTGCTCTTCAGGCACATTCAAATAGATGGTCTCCTTCTCAGGCAGGCCCAGCAGAGACCTCAGCCACAGGGAATGGCTCACCAGGCTGTCAATCACATCTCGCCATAGCTGCAAACTAGAGGGCAAGATATAGTGGAGAAATGCCATCACTCCTCATTTGTCCTTGAACCTGCAGAGGCTTGGGTCCCTCTCTTCAAAGACCCTGGTGCCAGGAACTGCTGTGGAAATGCCACACGCCTGAGCGGCCAGCATCCTCACTGTTCCCCACCAGCGCAAGTGCTTGGAGGGGGTTCTGGCTTGCCTTGGGTGGCAACCAAGAAAAAACATGGCCCAGGACTAGGGTTAGGAGGTCTGCATGAATTCAGTCCTACTTCAAAGGGCTTGAGGCCAGGGCCAGACTTGGGCCCAGTCCCACTGGAGGGGCTGAACCTTGCATGAGACTTCCAGCGTAAGGCTCTTGGGGCTTGTCCTGAGGGCCTTGAAAAGGACCCCACGCCTATACAAGCAAGTTCCAAACAGGCACCAGGGAGGGTGACAGCAGAGAAGTGAAGCTTTTAATGGAATCTGCCCCCACCCTTCTTTCTGCCCTCTGGCTTCTCCTTTTTTCATTCCTCTGCTCATTGAGAAGGAAAAAGGAAAAAACAGGAAGAAAAAAAAGTGAAGGTGTTTGATCTGCTGTGACTGCTCTCCAGTGAGCAGCAGGCACCGCAGGGTTCCAGAACATGGAATGTTTGCCGCATGCTCTAGCAACCTGAGCTCAAGGGAAACTCAGAGCCCTGGAGTCCCAAGACCCCTGCAGATGCCACAAAGGGAAGGAGATGGGGCGGCCCTCCTGGCAGGGCACCTACCCCATCTGGTGCAGGAGGTTGGACTGCAATGGTCTTGGCTTCTGGCACAGCTCCAGGGCTGCTTTGTTGAGCCTCATCAGCGCATCCTCTCTCTGGTTCTCATCAGGGAGCACCATCACTGCCTGGCAGGGTCATGGGCACCATTCTGCACCAGGACACCAAGGCTCTCTGTGTCCTCCAGTGAAGGGCATGGTGATGTGGGGATGGGTGGCAGGGGACCAGAAACCAGGAGGGGATGCAGCCATGGAGAGCTGTCTGGGTGCCTTTGGTGGGAGCCAGGGACCCCCCTCAGAAATCTGTACCTATGAACCCCTTCTCCAAGATTTGCCAGGGTCAGAGAGTGGGCCCCCCTCCTGGAACATAGAAGCGCGGGCACCCCAGACAAAAACAGGTAACCCGGCTGGGCACGGTGGCTCACACCTGTAATCCCAGCATTTTGGGGGGCTGAAGCGGGTGGATCACCTGAGGTCAGGAGTTCGAGACCAAAATACAAAATTGGCCTACTAAAAATACAAAATTGGCCTGGCATAGTGGCTCACGCCTGTAACACCAGCACTTTGGGAGGCCAAGGTGGGTGGATCATGAGGTCAGGAGTTTGAGACCAGCCTGGCCAACACAGTGAAACCCCGTCTCTACTAAAAATACAAAAATTAGCTGGATGTGGTGGTGCACGCCTGTAGTCCCAGCTGCTCTGGCAGGCTGAGGCAGGAGAGTCACTTGAACCCAGAAGGCAGAGGTTGCAGTGAGCCGAAATTGCACCACTACACTCCAGCCTGGGTAACACAGCAAGACTCCACCAAAAAAAATTTAGCCAGGTGTGGTGGCGCATGCCAGTAATCTCAGCTACTTGGAAGGCTGAGGCAGGAGAATCGCTTGAACCTGGGAGGCGGAGGTTGCAGTGAGTTGAGATCGTGCCACTGCACTCCAGCCTGGGCAACAAGAGCAAAACTTCATCTCAAAGTTAGATAGATAGATAGATAGATAGATAGATAGATAGATAGATAGATAGGAAGGATAGATAGATAGATAGATAGATAGATAGATTAGATAGATTAGATAGATAGATTAATAGATAGATAGATAGATAGATAGATAGATAGATAGATAGATTAGATAGATTAGATAGATAGATTAATAGATAGATAGATAGGAAGGATAGATAGATAGATAGATAGATAGATAGATAGATAGATAGATAGATAGATAGATAGGAAGGATAGATAGATAGATTAATAGATAGATAGATAGATAGATAGATAGATAGATAACCCAAGAGATCACTTTCTCTGGGCTCTCAGATTTTGTTTCTTTGCCCATGGAGCAAGAGGGGCTGCTGGGGCCTCCTTTGTTGGTTCGAGACAGGAATATTCTCTACCAACGCCTTCCAGGGTCTTGGAAGCACCTTTCTGAAATCCTCCAAGCAGAGATTCCACTCCAGCAGGGGAAGGCCATCCGGCTCCCAGGGGCTCCTGGCGCTGTCCACATCTGGGCTTTCCTCCACCAGGATCTCCTCCACGATGCTCTTCTGCTGAGGACTCTTGGTTCCCACTCTGGCCTTCTGGGATCCGGATTCCCTGAGGGCCTCGTTCTCAGGCTGGGGCACTTGAGGTTCAGAAATGGGGCTCCTAAAGCGCGGTAAGAGCTTAGCATTCACAGAGGCCTTCTCTGTGGCTATGGGGCTGACGTGCTCCTTGTCCCCTGGCCTGGCCTCCTCAGCGTTGGGGGGCAGAGTCATGTACTGGCGCCACAGTTCATGCAGGCTTTGCACCACTTGGTGCTCGTAATGCAGCTGCAGCAGAAGATGGGAAGACTTGTGAGGGAGAGGCTGGGGTGCAGGCACCGGAGCCCATGCCAGCTGGACCTGGCTTCTTCCCATTCCCCTGAGAGCACTGATGGAGGAGGCAGGGAGGAAGCCAGCAGGAGGGCTGCAGCCAGAGGGGCCCCCTACTTCCTTTTCAACCTGGGAACCTCCAAGTTGAAGCTATTTTTTTGCATTTGGGCTTCCAAGGAAGCCTGGGTTTGAATGAAGGAGTTGTGAAGCTCCGTTCTCATCAGGAATCCACTTATTAGCAAAATTACCCCGGGCAAATTACTTCATCTTTCTGGGCCTCAGTTTCCTCAATGTAAATGAGGATGTAAATAGTACCAGGACCAGGCACAATGGCTCAAGCCTGCAATCCCAGTGCTTTGGGAGGCCAGGGTAGGAGGATCACTTGAACCCAGGAGTTCAAGACTGGCCTGTGTGACAGACAGAGATCCTATCTCTACCAAAAAAAAAAAAAAAGAGAGAGAGAAATTAGCTGAGCATGGTGATGCATGCCTGTAGTCCTAGCTACTCAGGAGGCTGAGGTGGGAGGATCACCTGAGCTGGGGAGTTTGAGGTCACAGTGAGCTATGAGTGGGGACACTGTACTCTGGCCTGGAGTGTGACAGAGTGACATGCTATTTCTAAAAAATAAATAAATAAAAATAAGTAGTACCCATCTCATAGGACTGCTGTGAGGAGAGGTGAGGTATTCATGGAAGATGTGCAGAACAGAGTTTGACACATAAAAGAGTTTGCTATTACTCTCACCTATGGCAGCAGTCACAACCTTTTTGGCACCAGGGACTGGTTTCATGGAAGACAATTTTTCCACAGATGGCAGGGAGTAGGGGAATGGTTTCAGGATGAAACTGTTCCACCTCAGATCATCAGGCATTAGTTGGATTCTCATAAGGAGTGTGTAACCTTGATCCCTCGCATGTGCAGTTCACAATAAGATTTGCGCTCCTATGAGAATCTAATGCCACTGCTGATCTGACAGGAGGCAGAGCTCAGGCGGTAATGCTGGCTCACCCACTGCTCACCTGCTGCTGTGCGACCTGGGGGTTGGGGACCCTTGACTCAGGGCACACATGATGGGACAGAGGCTGGTGCTGGGCCTCACCTGAGGATTCCTGTGTCGGAACAAGTCTTCCTTGGTGAGATAGGCATCCACAGGTGATGGTGTGCGCTCCGGGGTCAAGACCCCCATCAGCACCTCCTGCAGCACTTCGTGAACGATGGTGACTGCCTCATGGGCCGTCAGTTTGCTCTGCAAATGGGAAGGTGGCAGAGGATGGCAGCCCAGGCTCTCAAAACCCATGCATCCTTCAGGAAGTTGGAGCCCCCAGGACTTTGTGCCTTCCTAGGGTCTGAGTTCCTGGCATTGGCGCTCTCTCACTCTCTCTCTTTCTCTCTCTCTTTCTCTCTCTCTCTCTCTCTCTCACACACACACACACACACACACACACACACACACACACGCCTGTTCTAAGACCCGAAAGCCTCTGAATCTCTCCAGACATCCTTGTTCCTTAAAATGGATGAAAAGGATCCAGAGGAGGGCCAGTTCCAGGGAAAGCTGCTGCTGCCTGGGGCCTGGTGGTCACACAGTTAGCATGTCACCAGATTAGGAAGAAGGGGTGGGGCACACAGTGGGGGTGCTTCTGAGGATGGTGGTGAACCTTCATCAGGCTTTAGTCAGTGTCACAGAAACACAGGGGAGGGGCACCTTGTGTGAGACATGAGTGCTACAGTCAGTGAGTAAAGCAAGCATGACATTGTCAAAATGACCTTTGATCACCACTGGCTGAGCTCCAGCTGAAGGAGCCGGCCTTGTGACTGGGGACCACAAAAAATAAAAAAGCGCAGCTTTCTACCAAATCCCAGGATGCATGGCTCAGATGGCCACACTGTGAAACTGATTCGGGGGAACAGATTCCCAGCTCCCACCTCACACTCACTCCACAGTTGTCAGCTGATTGAGTGGGACGGTGGGCAGACTCACCCTGCTATTTATTAATTATTATCCCTGGTTTTGAAGTCTTGTCGGTTAAACGCAACTCCACTGTATAGTACTAGACAGCGATGAACAAAACACAGACCAGTGCATAGGGCCATGCATTATTTGTACTTTACACAGTCTGCCTCTTAGGCTCAGTCTAATTTCTTTCTAACTCAGTGGGGCCATGCATGGCATTGCTGCAAGCTGCTCCTCACCTGCCTAGCCAGTGCACCCATCTTTTACATCACAAGCCCTGGGAAGTGTTCATGGAGCAAAAGTAGTTACCTGTTTGCTAAAAATTCAGTTCTCCTCTTAGGCTGGGAGAAATACCATCCCTGCAGGCACTGCCAGGAAGAATAGCAGGATACCCTAGCCGATGCCCAGAGCGGCCATGGTCCTGGGTCCCTTACCTCCAGTACTTCCCTCTCATCCTCAAAAACATCCTGGGTCAGGGAGACTGCATGGAGATTGACTTGCAGCACAGCACCTCCTAATAGAGTAGGATGGGTTCGAAACTCCCAAAATTCCCTGAAGATCCCAGCAGTCAAAGACTTGAAGAAGAAGGTAAAGGTTTTAGTTTCTCCAGGCAGAATCACACCTGAGAGGGACAGAGACTGAGGTTTTCAACATGCAGGAGCTGGCTGAGCCCCAGACCTGTATGCTGCTACATGCAGTTAACTGAGCCCCAGGCCAGGTGACTGGCCAACCATCCCAGTTTGCCCAGGGCTGAGAGGTTTCCTGGAAAGGGGGATTTTGAGTGCTAAAGTCCCAGGCAAACGGAGACAGCTGGCCACCCTAGCTCCAGGCCTGTGCATCTAGATAACTGAGCCCCTAGAACATTTCTGCTCCCAGGTGGCTCACGTCCCCGGGTTCTCAAGTTCCGTCAGTCTCTCAACAGACATGAATAGTCAGGCCACACATTTTACGGAAGGAATGAGAGGGACTCAAACTTACAGGAGCTGGGTCATAACTAAATTTTGATGTCTCATGAGGATAAAACCAGCCCCAGACAGGAGCCAGCGTGTAGGGTGGCTTCTCCCAAGTACCTTCCCGGCTGTTAAAGTAAAATCGCTGCATCCTGTTTTTCTTCAGGTCTTGGAAAGTGTCTGGTTGGTGCTGCCGTCGCCAGTCATACCAAATGGCCACGGTGCCATTATTGACCACAGTCAGTTCTGAGGAGGTTTTCTCGCCTTCTAGGGTTTCAAAGGTCAAGTGAACAGCAATCCCGACCTGCCTCTGGAAGGAGAAGGGACAAACGTCTTTGCTGGAGACCCTGGCCTAGAGTGAGCAACTCATCTGGTCTGCCCAGGACTTTTCTGGCTTTAGCACTGCAAGTCTCGTGTCCCAGGCCTCCAGGGCTTGGCCACTGTCACACAGAGTGATATCCTACTCCAATGTGGTTGTCTCTGAGGTTACCCTCAATAGTAAGAAGAGAAGATAATATATATATAAATATAATTATATATATATTTATATATAATTTTTTTTTGAGACAGAGTTTCGCTCTTGTCACCCAGGTTGGAGTGCAATGGTGTGATCTCAGTTCACTACAACCCTGCCTCCCAGGTTCAAGCAATTCTCCTGCCTCAGCTTTCCAAGTAGCAGGGATTATAGGTGTCCGCCACCACGCCCTGCTATTTTGTATTTTTAGTATAGAGATAGGGTTTCACCATGTTGGCCAGGGCTGGTCTTGAACTCCTGATGTCAGGTGATCCAGCCACGTCAGCCTCCCAAAGTGCTGGGATTACAGGCGTGAACCTCCACGCCTGGTCAGATAAAATATATTTTATACCCAATGAACATTTCTATTCCTTAGCATCTGAAGAATATCTTAGAACCTTCTTAGAGCCATACCTACTTGAGAGAGTTTGCTTGTTTACATGCTTGGGGGCTAGGTATAAGCCCCAAGTGGCTTATGACAGTCTGCAGCCTTGTGATTTTATTCTTGCTCAAGTTAGTATTGCTGTCACCATTTTCAGATAAGCTGAATGCACGACCAGATAAAAACGCAAACAGGAGACTGTGCAGGCTGCTGGTAACTGCCACAGACACCTCGGGGCTGTACCCCCGAGGGAGGCCCTCCCAGCAGGTGCGGTGAAGGCAGTTTTACCTTGTTCTGTGGATTACTGCCTCTGATCCAGCAAGCTGGCTTCCCACAGAACAGAAGAGAAGGGCCGAGAATAGGCATGGGGACATCAGAGGAACTTGCCAATGTGCCTCTGTAAGAAAAGCCAATGACTTATTTTCTCTTAGGCTGCCAGTCATGCCATGTGGAACCCACAGAAATGGTCACCAGGAAGCCTAGAAACACAACCAGCTCCACCCTGCAATGGAGTATGATCAACTCCACTCCTGTGCAGCTTCCTCCTGACCCATTGCTCTAGGTGGGAGGTTCTTAGAAACACAGACTCTTCAAGCCCTCCTGCCAGAGCTATTCGTGGTACACAGAAATACATAGACTCTCCATGCCAGAGGCATTCAAGATGCACAGCAGTGGGAGGGTCTAGAGAGCCCTCACTTGACCAGCAAGGGAATGTCTGGGAAATCCCCATTAGGAGTTAGTTGTTGGAAAGGAGCAGGTGGCAACAGGAAGGCTAGCACAGCTGCTGGAATGGGTTCAAGGAGTGGGTGGCAACCACTGGAGAGAAGCTAGGCTGGAGGCACCCTGATCTCAGGGAGGGAAGCCTGCTCTTTCATACTGGTAGTTGCTGGAGAACTCTTCAGCCTCCCTCCCCCGGGTTCAGGCTGCACTCACAAGTATGTTGTCTCTTCAGAGGAGCTTCCCTGACTTCTTTCAAACACTGTGTAGTCTTCCACAGTAACAGCTGAGAAGGGCTGCCCTTTGCCCACCACCTCCAGGCCATCAATATCCTCCGAGAGATGGAGAAAGGTTAGAAGAGCTGACTGAAGACAGGCACTGCCCCAAGAGGCTTCTGACTGGGGCATGGAGGCCATACTAACCTGCTGGCTGAAATCCAGCTCTGCCATGATTTGCTGCAGCTCCTTGCGTCGGTAGATCAGAAATAGACTCCGATCCCAGGTGTAGCGGTATGAAGCGTCCCTCTGGGCTGGTAATCCTAGCATGAGGTCCAAGGACCCTCAACACAGGCTGCTGCCATGCCCCCTTGCTCACCCACTTCTCAAGGGCTCTGAGAGTGCCTATCCCAACACCATTTCTAGGAAGGATGAAAAATACAGCTTCCCTGCAGCAGCTGGACTCCGCTCTCCTGTCCCGTATCTCCTCAGCAGCCCTACACAAGACTCCTGCAAAATTAGCTTCCAAATAGCCAAATTTTTGGATTATAGTAAAAATGATAATAGCAGCTACCTTTTATTGAGTGCTTAACAATGAGTCAGAACTTAATACATTTCATATCCCATTTAGCCCTATCACAACTCTGTGCATATTTTACAGATAAGGAAACTACAGGCCAGAGGGGTTCAACCACTCTGGGGTTCACTAACACGACATGGCTGGGACCTGAACCCAGGCAGCCTGGCAAGCTCTAAAGCAGATATGCTCAAGAGAAACAGGATGCAAACCACAAACACAAGCCACATGTGTCACTGAAAGTTTTCTAGATGCCACACTGAAAAAGGAAAAAAGAAACAGGTGGGATTCATTTTAGTAATATAGTTTATTTTATTTATTTATTTATTTATTGAGACAGAGTTTTGCTCTTGTTGCCCAGGCTGGAGTGCAGTGGCATGATCTTGGCTCACTGCAACCTCCACCTCCCAGATTCAAGCAATTCTCCTGCCTCAGCCTCCTAAGTAGCTGGGATTATAGGCACGCACCACCATGCCCAGCTAATTTTTGTATTTTTAGTAGAGATGGGGTTTCACCATGTTGGCCAGGCTGGTTTTGAACTTCTGACCTCAAGTGATCCATCTGCCTCAGCCTCCCAAAGTGCTGGGATTACAGGCGTGAGCCACTGTGCCCAGCCTCATTTTAGTAATATAGTTTATTTAACTCAGTATATAAAAAATATTGTCATTTTGACATGTAATCAATATAAAAATGATTAATAAAATATGTTGTTTTCACACTAAAGCCAGTGTCCAGTTGACAGCACTTCTCAGTGCAGGGCAGCCACGGTCTAGGTGCTCACCGGTGGCATGCAGCTCAAGGCTCCACACTGGACAGCAGCTCTATGGCTGCACTCCAGTCTCCTAGCTCTCTCACTGTTTTACTGAAGAAAAGGAAGAGGGAGCCAGACTTCAGGAAGACTCTGGGACTTGCCTAAGGCCACAGAGAAACAGGCCCTGGGCCGCACTGTAGAGCCATGCTGGCCACTGCCACACTACCCTGCCTCTGGGCCAGGCACAAGATGCCAGCTGGCTTACAGCCCTGTGCCTCACCTGTCTCCACCCGGATGGAGTGGGGCTTCCCGATGTGTGTGATGGGCTCCATAAGGCCACGCTGAGTTTTTGTCTTGGTCATGACCAGACCTGTCATCTCATCTCCCAAGTATTCCAGTCGACTCCAGAACCCACTGTTCTCCCAGCTCTGGCAAGGAAGGAAAGGTGAGTCAGATTACCTGGACACCTCAGCCAGATGCTGGTGGAGATGTGGGAAGACAAGCACCACCACAGGCTACAGATGCTCCCTCTGGGGAATTCACTGCTGCCATGATTGCAGAACAGAAGCATCCACTGCCGCGTTTTCTGGACACCCTGTTGTCATCTTTACCTGTCCCCAGCCAGATGGTGTGGGTTGGTACAGGTACTGCACTGGTCTACCAGAACAAAGAGGGGGGACTCTTCAGCCTCTCTCCTTAGGGTGTAGGCTCCACTCAGTCTAAGCTCCTAGGAGACAAACACTAAGACTACTCTAATAACTCGCTACCTGTGTGGCCACCACAGGCTGAATAACTTTACTGACTAATCACAGAATTTAGTAAAGGCCTTGAGGGCTTAATGATGCTTTGCAATGGATAGGTTTTTTCTCCCCAGCTGTGCCACCTGAAACCAGCATCCCTGTGTCCAGACACCTGCCCCCCACCCCCCTCCTTCGTGCCACCCCCTGCCCCCCGGGCACTTAGGACAGGTGGCCTCACTTTCCTATCACGCCGCGTTGGAAGTGTGCAGTCAATGAGCTCCCGCTCCTCCTGGATCCGTCTGTAGGTCTCCCCAGTGTGCATGAGCAGCTCACTGATCGGCTTCTTTAGGTGTTCTAGAGAGAGAGGCAAGATTGCAGCCACTCTGCCAAACCAGAACAAACAGGGGCCTTGGCAGTCTGCATCGGGCAGCCTCCCTCACGGGGCTGATTTCAGGACCCACTGAAGCTTCAGAGTGAGACACTCTTGGGAGTGAACAGCACAAATGTGGTCAGCCCGAGGCCAGGCTCTGGAGGAGTAAACAATCCAGCAGAGCCTTGCGCCAGATGGAGGCTGGGCGGGAGCCCTGTCTGCTCTGCTCACCACTGAGGGCTTCCTGCTGCTTCTTCCGCAGGGCTATGTTACGCTGCCAGTTTTTCAGAAAGTTGTGCTGAGGAGGTGGGGCCCAGGGAGGTCTCTTCTCTTCTTTTGGGGCTTTTTGCGTTGACTCTCCTTTAGCAGAGATGAGGGTCATCAGACAGGGTGAGGTAGGTATCAGCTCAGCCAGCTGAAAAGTACAACATAGGCATGTGGAGGGCGGTGAGAAGGCTCTGGGCGGGGCTGAGCACACATTTCCTGAGGCCTAAACCCATGCTGTTATCCCACTGTGCTGAGAATCCCTCCTCTTCAGGACTCCAGGGTAGCCAGTGACAGAAAATAAATCCCAGAACCAGGGGGCCCTGAAAGCAGCTGTCAGTCCACTCTCCCACAGAAAGGGAACTTCTGTTTCAAGATTGGGGTCAACATCTTCTAGTGTTATTGGTCCTCCTCACAACTGACGTTGATTGACACCTTCACCCATGTGTAAATGGAAGCATTCTTACATGGCCCCAGGCCCCTTAGCGCCTGACCAGAGTCAGCCTGGATCCAGGGAAGCAAGGGGAAGAGACAGGAGAAGCACTGCATGATGGGAAGGTTGAAAAGATACAGAATCTTCCCATGGCCCAGGAAGCAGTGGGAAGCCACCTTCCTCCACCACGTGGAGTGAGGAGGGCAGGCCAGTCTCCAGAGAAGGGAAAATCAAGACAGTGCACAGAGCAGAAAGAAATGAGGCATGTGGGCCCTGAGTCCTGATGCCTTTCTGGGTTCAGTCTACTCAGACTCAGGTACTCCCACCTTTGGGTTCCATGAGGCAGTCTCTGGAATCCTTACAGTAAATCCCCGACTTCACTGAAGCCAGCTTCAGCTGTCTTTTGTGCCTTGCAACTGAAGTGTCTAACTATTCTGGGAGAGGGTCCCTTATCAACTGAGACTCGAAACCTAGAGACTAAACTGTCTCTTTAACCCCAGCCCTGCTTGACTCTGTCAGGTGGAAGACCGAAATGACTTCAGTGACTGCTGTCATCCGGGTAGTTCTGTGCAAACAAACCCGGGTGTTCCCTCGAGCAAGTGCAATTCTCTTAAAGTCCTGGAGACTCCCCAAGATGTGGTGGGGCAGGATCTGGTCACTGCCATCGAAGCTGTCACCGGGACCTGTGAGGATAAAAGAAGAAAGGGGAAAGAAGCTGTGGGTGCGCAACTCTCAAGAGGGCAACTTTCTGATGGAGACTGGGTTTCTCTTGAGGTTGACCCATGAGTTGAAAGACAGTAAAGCCAGGGCTGAGACTGGGTGTACCAGAGTAGTCCAGAGGCTTTGTGGCTGCATCGGTATTTGCAGGACGTGCTACAAGGTGGCAGACCTTCCTCCTAGGATCCGTGGGTTTGAGTTTACGGATGATAAATTTCTGGGTAATGACGCGTTTATCTTCCTTTTCAGTAAGGCGAGGAATATGTTGCTAAAAAGAAATAAAACAAAGGAGAATTCCACCTGTGGTGGAAGCAGGAAGAGCACCACCCATCTCCTCCGTTCTAGTTCTAGGTGGAGTTCCTGAAGGCTGACAGATCTGTGTCTTCAGCTCTGCCCATATGTTCTGTTGAGGAAATGCCTGTGTAACAGATATGTGACTTAGTAATATCCTGGAGGGAAAAAAAAGAACATCTTATGCCTCCAGATAGTTCAGGTGAGAGGTGGCTGACTCTCCCAGGTGAAGCATGGGGTTAGGGTTTAGCAGCTTTACCCAGAGCTGTACCTTTGCTCCTTAAACTCATCCTCCCTTCTGTGAAATGGGAATGATGGCACCTACCTCTATGGGAACAAGATACCTCATCATCTCATTTCCCCCGTGGTTCTATAGGAATCTCAGAAATGTTAAAACAGACAACACAGTGAATTCCTTAAGGTGGTAAAGTGAAAAGAATCTGTGTTCAGTGGATTTTTGCATGGAGTTAGACACTCCCCATGAGTAGGGAGATGGTGGGAAGACAGTGGACATGGCTGGTGTTCTAGACCACTCAGGCTGCTGGCAGGGAAACATTTCTATGATAAGGGAAGCTTAGGCTTCATCCTCACCTCCTTCAAGTCTTCCTTCTTAATGGCCAAAGCAAGAATGTCATCTCCTTGTAGGACATTGCTAATAGGTTCAGGCTCTTCCTGAATTGGGGGTGTGGGTTGTTCAGGTCCCTTTGCCCGTTTCTTTTCTGAAGAGAAGCAGAAAGTTATTAAGTCCTTAAAGAGCTCCTTCTGTATATGTCAATATATACACACAAAAGTATAAATATATACTAGACTCCATGGGGGGGGCGGTGCAGAGCTGACCAGCTGAAGAGGTAGCAGAGGCTGCCAAGGTGGCCTGGGTGGCACTTTGCTGGGGCAAGAGGAGTTCCCTCTGGAGGGTCCCCCTACCCACAGCCTCTGGCTCACCACAGTGACTAAGACTTCTGTAGCCAGAATTTAGATCAGAAGATGCTTCATTTCAGGCCAGGTACGGTGGCTCATGCCCGTAATCCCAGCACTTTAGGAGGCTGACACAGGAGGATCACTTGAGGCCATGAGTTCGAGACCAGCCGGCCAACATGGTGAAACCCCGTCCCCACTAAAAATACAAAAATTAGCCAGACCCATGCCTGTAGTCCCAGCTACTCGGGCAGCTGAGGCAGGAGAATCACTTGAGCCTGGGAAGTAGAGGTTGCAGTGAGTTGAGATCGCGCTACTGCACTCCAACCTGGGCAACAGAGCGAGACTCTGTCTCAAAAACAAAACAAAACAAAAAGATGTTCATTTCGGGTGCCATGGTGCAAGCCTGGAATCCCAACACTTTTGAGAAGCCAAGGCAGGCGGATTGCTTGGGCCCAGGAGTTCAAGACTAGCCTGGGCAACATAGTTGAGACTCCATCTGTACAAAAAAGATTATTTTTAATATGCAAAAAGATGTTCCATTTCAGGTTATGCTATTTATAAGCTGGACAGTCTTGGGCACACATCACTTAACCTCTCTAGGCCTCAGGCTTCCCATGTGTACAAAGAGTCAGTTGGACTAAATCAGTGGTTCCCAACTATTAGTCCAATGTCTGCCTCAGAATCTTGGGAGGAGTTTTATGAATACAGCTTCCTGGCTACTGCATGGAGCCAGGGCCTAGGGAGCTGTAATTTTTTCAACTCCCTAGGTGATTCTGATGCACAGTGGTTTGGGACAGCTGAACTAGATGTTTTGTCAGTGTCCTCCAGTGCTGGCACTGATCCATGCTTCTGGGTGAAGGCATTGGGTTTCATAAGACACTGGTTAAAATGCAGAATCTCTGTGGGGGAAGCAGAACATTCACCACTGGCCATTTATTGCACACTATTTCATTAAATAAAGATTGTTGAGCGGGCGCGGTGGCTCAAGCCTGTAATCCCAGCACTTTGGGAGGCCGAGACGGGCAGATCACGAGGTCAGGAGATCGAGACCATCCTGGCTAACACGGTGAAACCCCGTCTCTACTAAAAAATACAAAAAACTAGTCGGGCGAGGTGGCAGGCACCTGTAGTCCCAGCTACTCGGGAGGCTGAGGCAGGAGAATGGTGTAAACCTGGGAGGTGGAGCCTGCAGTGAGCTGAGATCCGGCCACTGCACTCCAGCCTGGACAACAGAGCGAGACTCCATCTCAAAAAAAAAAAAAAAAGATTGTTTAAGCAGCTTCTCCGTGCCAGGCACTGTGCTAGGTTCTGGGGATCTATGTCAGAGCTTGTCTTTAAAGAACACATGCCCAGTGGGAAACAAGACCGTGAAACAGACTGAACCAGAGTAACTACAGGAACATGGTGGGGAGGAATACCCAGCCCAGAGTCGGCATCAGGGAGGGCTTCCTAAGGAAGGGATGTTTAAACAGAGCTGAAGAAAGAAGCTGGAGAAAGGAAAGGGCCCTAGGGAACAGGCATTCCAAAGAAAATAACATATAGAGGCATAGAGGCAAGAGAACGGAGCACATCCCTGGAACTCAAAGCATGTGTTTTTAAATAGCTGGAGTGTGGTGAGGTGGGAGGGAAGAGGCAGAGCCCAGAGAGAGCAGCAGCAGCCATATCGTGCAGAGCTCAGTGAGCCATGTGAAGGCTTACCCCATGGGTAATATAGCATGCCAAGGAATGGATTAAGAGTTGCAAGATCTTGGGAGGCCAAGGCAGGCAGATCGCTTGAGCCCAGCAGTTCAAGACCAGTCTGGGCTCTATAAAGAAAATACAAAAATTACCCAGGCATGGTAGTACATGCCTGTAGTCCCAACCACTTGAGAGGCTGAGGGGAAGGACAGCCTGAGCCCAGGAGGTCAAGGCTGCAGTGAGCCAAGATTGTGCCACTGCACTCGAGCCTGGGTGACAGAACAAGACCCTGTCTTGTTTGTCTAAGAAAACAAAACAAAAAATCCTGCAAGACCGAGATGAGCGTATGAATGTATTTAAGAGTCTGTTGTGGCAGCCAGAGCATGACATTGACAACACCTGGGGCAGAAGGGGGTCACAGGTCACTTTCCAATGAGGACACACTCCCTGCCTTCCTTTCACAGAGGTGGCTTAACAGGTTCAAACACATCTCATTTCTCTGGCTGGTCAACCCTGTCATTTTCCCTCTGGTTCAGAATGGTTTGATATAAGGCCCTACATAAAACAATCAAAAGAAAATCTAAGTTCTGCCTTTAGGGAGTTTAAAACAAAATTTAGTTTTATCCACTACTTCTCACAGCACCGTAATCTTTAAGAGGCAGTATCACTAAAACATCAAGGCAGGTGTTTTGGTTAATAAAATCAAACTTTTTTAAAGGAAATTTCCATAGAGTTGGTGGCCAAAAAAACTCACACCAAAATCATTCCAAACATAGTTCTAAATTCAGCCTGTTGGCCAGGTGCAGTGGCTCACGCTTGTAATCCCAACACTTTGGGAGGCCGAGATGGGAGGACTGCTTGAGGCCAGGAGTTCAAAACCAGCCTGGGCAACACAGGAGAACCTATCCTTAAAAATTTTTTTGTTTTTCTGTTAGAAAAAAATAATAAATTCGGCCTATCATCCACAGTCTGTTTCTGTAATGGGGTCAGCGAAGGTTCGGGAGTATCTGTCTGTTAAATGCATGCCTCTGTGCACACAAACACACATGCAGGGCTGACAGCTGAACCCCGAGTTCCAGTGTCATCTGCTGCCAAGTGTGGAGATGCAGCCTTGGGCTTTGATTTCTACCTCCCCTCTCCCTTCTACACAAACTCACCAAAGTGGGTGGCAGCCTATGAGAACTGAGATCAGTTGAAGGTCTGCTTTTGTAAATATTTTGGTATTACCTGTATTTTCTAGGACATTTGCTTTCTCCATCCATAACCTTGACTGGGTTGACATCTTTCCAAGTGATTAAACATCTCCAGATGTGTGTTTTTTACTGGTGGGTACACAATTACCACGTGTCAACAGAAACTTTCAACACTGCTGAAGATTTTTGGGGGCCAAAGCTCGCATCCCTTCAGTGATAGAGAAGCCAATCTTTCATGTTTGGTTTAGATTGAAATAGTAAAACTCCGGTCTAAGGTTATTCTCAGAAAGTTATCTTTAATGTAGTCCAGTAAATGCTCTGTTACTGCATACAGTCAAGGAGTGATATGTTCTAGTTAATAAAATATTCATTAAAATGATATATACATTTTTTTTTTCTTGAGATGGAGTCTCACTCTGTCCCCCAGGCTGGAGTGCAGTGGCGTGATCTTGGCTCACTGGTGCGAGCTCGGCTCACTGCAACCTCCGCCTCCCAGGCTCAAGTGATTCTCCTGCCTCAGCCTCCCAAGTAACTGGGAATACAGGCATGCGCCACCACGCCCAGCTTTTTTTTTTTTTTTTTTTTGAGATGGAGTTTCGCTCTTGTTGCCCAGGCTAGAGTACAATGGCATGATCTCAGCTCACTGCAATTTCCGCCTCCCAGGTTCAAGCGATTCTCCTGCCTCAGCCTCCCAAGTAGCTGGCATTACAGGCATGCACCACCATGCCCGGCTAATTTTTTGTATTTTTAGTAAAGGCTGGGTTTCACCATGTTGACTAGGCTGGTCTTGAACTCCTGACCTCAGGTGATCCACCTGCCTCAACCTCCCAGAGTGCTGGGATTACAGGCATGAGCCACCGCGCCCGGCCGCCCAACTATTTTCTGTATGTTTAGTAGAGACAGGGTTTCACCATGTTGGCCAGGCTGGTCTCAAACCCCTGACCTCAGGTGATCCACCTGCCTCAACCTCCCAGAGTGCTGGGATTACAGGCATGAGCCACCGCGCCCGGCCACCCAACTATTTTCTGTATGTTTAGTAGAGACAGAGTTTCACCATGTTGGCCAGGTTGGTCTCAAACTCCTGACCTCAGGTGATGTGCTCGCCTCAGCCTCCCAAAGTGCTGGGATTACAGGCATGAGCCACTGTGCCCAGGGATATATATATCTTAAATTGCTCCTAGGGACCATTTACCAAGCCTCTTCTATGTGCTATAAACTACAAAGATAGTATAAAAGGTTAAGATATGGCTCCTTCTCTTGAGGTACTGAAAAATGTAACAGACGTGAATATACACCAATCATAACATAGTAGAGGAGTTCCTACATTTGCAGTACAGGCAATAGGTTTGGTTAGACATCAAACAAGGAACAGATCCATGTGGATTACACAGTTCAGGGCTCTGAAGAAGGGTTCAGAGGAACAGCTGCAGAGGTGGCTCCACAGGCTGAGGCAGGCCTCAAAGGAGAGACAGGTACAGGTATAGCAGCAAACCGAGATGCTCCAGGTGAGGTCAAAGTCCAAGCAAACCAGGGAGCAGGGCTGAGCATGGCATGTGAGTGGCACGATAACACAGAAAACTTGCTGGGGAGGTGGTGATGTTGGGGATGAGAGGGAAACCAGAGCATGACAGCTTTGTAAAGCATGGCTCAGGCATCTGATCTTTGGTCCAGGGGAGTGAGTTGATGACAGGCGCATTTCAGAATGATTCATCAGATGCAGAGAGCCAGATGGACCGGAGAGGCAGAGGCAAGCTGGGAAGACCAGGGAAGGAAGAGCCCCAGGGATCATTTTAGGACCTGCAGGAAGACTCCACAGGGCTGAGGTATGTCTGACTACTGAGCCTGTAGAGGCCCAGCACTCTCTGGTTCTTTGGTCTGGAATCCCAAGCTATAGGGCTCCTGGTGAGCCACCCAGCTGACATTTCTCCCTTGATGCTGACAGTGAGGGGTAAAAGAGACCACCCCGCTTGCATGGGGTAATCAGTCTGTTGGAGCTGGACCAGAGGGCTGGAAGCAAGGTGCTCAGGTGGGGATAGGAAGGGAGATGCAGAGGGGGGAACTATGGAGGGAGACGAAACCTGGACTCTTTCTGCTTCTTGTTTTATCTGAGTATTATTTGGTTTTAGTGTTGACTAAAGTCTTTGGGAAATTCTGACCTTAGGGTTGGGCTGGGGGAACCATGCAGGGGCTGTCCTTACTAGGGCGGAGCTTTAATTCGTTGGGGAGGGGAATCTAATACTGCTGGGAGGGTTCTTGGCTTCTTAGCAACAAGACAGCAGGGGTAGGGGGGCACATGGCGGGAAGGCAGGGTACTGGGACTCAAAAAGGCTCTCAGGTCCCAAGAAACAGGTTTAAGTCACTGTTTTTGCTTTCCTTTTTGCTTAAGACATCAGAGACTTTGGAGAAACATTGCACAAGGTTACAAGATTACATTTGGTCATTAGCTGCCTTATATGGGGGCTGGGGGAGAGTACTGCACTACAACATTACAGGCTTCCCTGAGATATTTTTTAAAAGATATCTTGCATGCTAACCACTTCATTTTTTTTCCCCTCCTCACTCTGGTGCATGTTCTTAACTCAAGGGTTAATTAACAAACTAAATTTTCTGCTTATTAAAAATAAATATGCAGTAAAAAAATCTTTCCTTGATTTGTTTATAGCAGTTCAAATCTGGTAAGATCTCCCAGAAACTATGTGAGCAGGAGGCAGTAGCTAGGAAAGCCCTTGACTGCCCTTGGGAAAGGGGACCAGATATTCCCTCTCTCTCAACTAGTAAAAAGTATGTCATGGGCCAGGCATGGTGGCTCATGCCTGTAATCCCAGCACTTTGGGAGGCCAAGGTAGGAGGATCGCTTGAGCCCAGGAGTTCAAGACCAGCCTGGGCAACTTGTCTCTACAAAAAAAAAAATTAGTCGGGCATGGTGGTGTGCACCTGTAATACCAGCTACTTGGGAGGCTGAGGCAGGAGGATTGCTTGAGCCCGGAAGTTCAAGGCTATAGTGAGCTATGATTGTACCACTGCACTCCATCCCGGGTGACAGAGCGAGGCCCTGTCTCAAAATACATATATATATATATATATAATGTCATAAAACAGCATTGGACTTTTATTTTTTTAATAATGGGGGTCTTACTGTGTTGCCCAGTTTGGAATGCAGTCAGCTATTCACAGGTGTGATCATGAACTCCTGGCCTGGAACAATCCTCCTGCCACAGCCTCCTGAGCAGCTGAGACTGCAGATGTGCTCCACCATGCCGGGCTCAACGTTGGACTTTTATACATGAAGAAACATAGAGCCATACTGAAAAGTGACTAAGCTCCTGTTAGTTTTCTGAGCGTCCCCTCTCCTCACACTGAGCTTTCACAACTCTGAGGCTGGGTCTCCCCAGGGCCTGCAAGAGCACATCAGGCTTTCTGACCTAGTACATAAAGCCCTTTCATGGTCTGGCCCCTGCCCTACCCACTGTGCAGCCTCTTCTGGTTCCCACATTTACAGTTTCATAAACTCATGCTGCTTCCTAGACCTAGAGAAGCAAGCCTCTCCTTTTTTTTTCCTTGTCTGCCATAGATGTCACCTTCTTCAGAAGACGTCCCCCTACAACCATCCCTGGTCTAGCTCAGGTGCTCTGAGCCCCCTGAAGCCCGATGGGCACCTACATTGCAGCATTTGTATTTCTACCTTTGTCTGGTTACTCCTCCAGGCGTTCATTAGACTGAGTTTCTTGAGGACCAGGGTCACACAGTTAATACCAATACCCTTCTGGTGAGCCACAGTACCACACAAAACTAGCTCTCAGTAAACAAAACCAGGCTGGGCGCAGTGGTCCATGCCTAGAATCCCAGCAGTCTGTGAGGCTGAGACAGGAGGATCGCTTGAGGCCAAGAATTTGACACTAGCTGGGACAACACAGCAAGAGCCCTGTTTCCACACACACACACACAAAAAGGGCTAAAAATGAAATTTAAAAATAAATAAATGGAAACAGCAAAAAAAGATCAAAAGGGGGTGGGTTGCAAATGAGAACATGTCCGTGGAAGTCCTCCGCTATCAGACGCCCTGTGGCTCTCCCAGGTGCAACCAGAAGGAAGCTGTAGAGGCCAGGAAGCAGTCATATCTAGCGACTCTTTTCAGGCTAAAGGAGCTGGATAAGTGTCATCCAGCTGGAAAGTGCACGTGGTAGGAAAAGGCAGTCAAAAACAGAACTAGCCAAGCAATGCTTTTCTTCTGGGTTTTTCCAGCAGGAATCCTGAGTGACGCCTGCCCCCCATCAACCCTCCTCTACCGAAGAACCCCATTAAGGTGGCTGGTTTCACCACTCCATTCTTTCCTCTTCCCAAGGACCCCAATTCCTGGCCCTTCTACCCTTAAACTCTTTCCTGGCTCTTCTGTACCTCGTCCAGTCTGGGGATCCTGCCTCCTGCATGCCACCCGAAGATGTGGTTAGAGGTAAAGGTATCCCTGCCTGCGCAAGGCCATCTCCCCAGCCAGTGGTCGCTGAGGCCTCTCTGTCAGTCTCCCACTTCCTATGTCCCCATTCTCAAGGCCCAGTGCGCTGTGGGTTCTTCCTGCCTTGCCCCCCCCATCCCTAAGGGTCCTATCCCCAGTACCCTACTTCCCCGTGATCTTTCCTCCATCCCTGGTGCCATCCCCATCCTCCAGGCCCCGTGTCCTGAACTCATTCCAGGGACCGCTTCCCCTGTCGGGTTCTCCTGAGCGCCCAAGGCAGTCAGCGCCAACCTTTGAAGCTCTCTGCGGCCTCTAATAATCTGGCTGGAGTTATTTTGAGGCGGGAATCCTTCTTTAGAGACTTCATGGTGCCGTCCCGGCGGTGAGCGTGACCCTGCACCGCCCGGCCCCGAGACACCGAGGCTGCGCCGCACCCGCGGCGACCCCGCGCACGCCCGCCAGCCAGCGGCCGCCACTGCGTCCGTAGCAACCGGCGCCCCGCGCGGGGAGGGCACCTACCAATCAACTTGGGCGGAGACTGCTTGGAAACCACCTTCTTCATCGGGCCGCGCACGCGCCCGCCGCCTGCGGCTCCAAGAGCGAAAGACCCCTAGAACGCCCCGCTGGCCCTACCCGTGACGCCACAGGCGGCGCCGACGAGCGCCGTGACGTCACCAGCCGGGCGGGGCGGGGGGGCCCGGGCGAGGACCCCCGCGAGTTGTGGGAGCCGAGGGCTGGGTGGGAGCGGGCTGGCTGGTAGGGGTGCGGGACCTGCCTCGCCCCGCCCTGCTGCTAGGCCACGGGAGGCGGGTGGGGCGTCGCAGGTGCCAGCCCCTGCTTCCCATCTTCCTCGGCTAAGGCCACGTCCTGTCGAGAGACCTCCCTCTGCCCCCCTCACAGCGGTCCGGGGGTATCGGGCCTTTCAGGACATGCTGAAACCCCTTGCGTGGCGTACCGTGGGTTTTAGGTGTCCGTGGTGGCCCTCCCCAACTCGCACCAACGCGCCTGGTGACCTCCCGGGTCCACGCTCGCTGCAGCCACTTTGGCCTTTCATCACTTCCCCGAACAGCCAAAACTTTTGCCCCGACTTGGGGCATTCTCACAGTCCTTGAAGATACTGCCTCTGATTATTTTAAGTTTATAAACGCACCCGCTTTGTTCCCCTTCTAGAGCCCTGATGCATTCTGGAATTTTTTTTTTTTGTATGTAGTTGCCTATTGTCAAACTCTCTCGGAATGTATGAGAGCAGGAGCTACCTCAGGCCCCGCCCCCAACCCAAAGTTTAGTGCCAGTAGTCACGCAGTAAATTGTGCCTCAAATAGTGAAGGGGTTCTAGAGCCAGACAGAATTGGGTTCTAATCCCACCTATGCCGGCTTGCTAGCTATGTGTTCTTGAGCCAATGCCTTGACCTAGAAGAGCCAGTTTTCTCTGCTAGGTGCAGTGATTCAGGCCTACAATCCTAGTGCTTTAGGAGGCTGAGGCAGGAGGATTGGTTGAGGCCAGGAGTTCAAAATTGGCCTGAGCAACGTAGGAAGACCCCATTCTAAAAACCTCCGCCTCCCAGGTTCAAGCGATTCTCCTGCCTCAGCCTCCTGAGTAGGTGGGATTACAGGCGTGTGCCACCACACCTGGCTAATTTTTGTATTTTTAGTAGAGGCGGGGGTTTCACCAGTTGGTCAGGCTGGTCTCGAATTCCTGACCTTGTGATCCGCCCTCCTTGGCCTCCCAAAGTGCTGGGATTACAGGCGTGAGCCACCGTGCCCTGCCTAAAAAATTTTTTTTAATTAGCCAACTTTGGTGGCCCACACCTGTAGTCTTAGCTATTCTGGAGGCTGAGGCAGGAAGATTGCTTGAGCCCAGGAGGTCCAGGCTGCAGTGAGCTCTGATTGCACCACTGCACTCCAGCCTGGGCAACAAAGTGAGACCCCCATCTCATCCATCCATCCGTACATATATATATACACAAAATGGTGGTCATAATGCTGCCCTCACAAGGCCACTGCAAGGGTTAAATGAATATGTATGTATTTATTTTTCTTTGAGAGTATCTCACTCTGTTGCCCAGGTTGGAGTGCAGTGGCACAGTCATAGCTCACTGCAGCTTCAAACTCCTGAGCTCAAATGATCCTGCTGCTTCAGCCTTCCAAGTAGCTGGGACTACAGGCATGTGCCACTGCACCCAGCTAATTTTTGAATTTTTTGTAGAGGCATGGTCTTGCTATGTTGTCCAGGCTGGTCTTGAACTACTGTGCTCAAGCGATCCTCCCACCTTGGCTTCTCAAAGTGTTGGGATTATAAGCGTGAGCCTCCTCACCTGGCCTGAGTGTGCATTTAAACTATGCAACAGGGTGCCCTCCACAAACTGTAGTATCTTCTCAGTCAATTCTCAAAATCATGCTGGGGTTGAAGGGAGGGGACACATTATAAGCCCATTTTACAGATGGAGAAACTGAGCTCCAGAGGGAAGAGTGTAATGTCATCTGACTAGCGGGAAGCACAAATTGAACCTGGTTTTCAAAAGTCCAAGGCCAGGGCTCTTTGGACCCTGTCTCCTGGGACATTGCTGAGTTTGCAACAGCTGCCCCAGACAGTGGAGGAGCTAGAGAGGAGGCCAGCAGGGCTGGTGAATCCCTGAGCTCCCTGTGTGTTCCCCATTGCTGGGTCCTGCCCCAGGGGCATGGCCTCTTCTTCACACTGCTCTGGACCTTGCTCTCGTTATGACTGCAGCATCCTCCGTGGACAGCTTCTCTTCTCCTGATCTCCGAGGTCCAGGCTCCGGCTTCCCTCTACCCTCTAGAGAATCCCCAGTTCCGTTTACTTCACAACTGAGCACTTATGATCCAGCAGGTGGGGTGCTGTGCCATGTGGGTCCTCCAGGAAGCAAGCGCTGAGATGAATATAGAAGTGCAAGAGGTTTATTGTGGGGAGAGGGGGTAGTGGAAAGGCCAGTGAAGGAGACGAAGCAGGAAAGGGCTGGGAGAGCCTCAGATTGTGCTGCAGATCTAACAAAGTCTTGGCCAACCCACCGTGTCCTCTAGGCAAAGTATGTTTGTTAGAAGCTGTAAGCTAACTGCCCTCCTTGTGGGTGAATAGCAAGTTCTTTCTTGAAGGGAGACAGGAATGGCTTACCTCCATGGCTGTCCCAGAAGCTCTGTAAGATATGGAAGAAAATAAGAAACATTTCCTTTTGCCCTTTGGAGCTCACAGTCCAATCAAACCTAGGAATCTTTTAGACACAAAGTGGGGTCATTTGAAAGTAGATTTCCAACTCTAATGTGTGAGCTCATGGGGTAGTAATTAGCTGCAATTTAGGAACCACAGACTGGATATGAGGGGGGCCTTCTTAGAGGAGGTGGGCCACTAAATAAAGAGTTCAATGGGTAGTTCAAGGGGCAGGTACTCCAGGTAAGGACACAGAAGGTACAAAGGCCTGGAGGGGGCTGGGCATGATGGCTTGTGCCTATAACCCAACACTTCTGGAGGCTGAGGCAGGAGGATCACTTGAGCCCAGGAGTTTGAGACCAGCCTGGGCAACATAGTGAGACCCTGTCTCTACAAAAAAAATTATAAAAATTAGCCAGATGTCATGTCACGCACTTGTGGTCCTAGCTATACAAGAGAGTGAGGTGGATGGATTGCTTGAGCTTGGGAGGTCGAGGCTGCAGTGAGCTGTGATTGCACCACTGCACTCCAGCCTAGGGTGACAGAGCAAGACTCTTTTTTAAAAAAAAAAAAAAAAAGCGCAGTGTGTAAAGCACAAGCTCAGATGACAGCATCACTTCACCAGCATAGCTCCCGCAGTCTCCTCCCAGCTCCACAACTCTGAGCAACTTCCTGGAGCCCAGGGAGGAGGAGGTGGTGGCTAGGTTGACAGAGGACACAGCATAAATTATTGCTTCATGTCTCTGTTTATTTCCACCCATCCAGGTGCTGGGCATGTCGTCAGCTACTCCTAAACAGCCTCCCTAAATAGAAAGCGCATTTCCTCCACAGACTGCATCATCCATTTCCCAGGGACAGCCACCCTCCTAAAGACTGAGGCTGGGGGTCATCCGTTCTACAGCCCCTCACATCTGGACCCCCTCCCGGTTCATCCTACCACTGTGTCTCACTTCCGCATACCCACCTGGCCTGCTCCCCTATTGTTTCCATTGTGCCCCCCCACCAGGTCTGGCCACCCCCACACATAGCTGGCTCATGCCCCTCACATCTGCCCTCACCCACTCACATCTGGCAGCTGCACCCCTTAAACGATTCATCACATCACTGCCCTCCTTACTACAACCTTGTTCAGCTCACACTCAGAATCTTAAAATTCTTCTTAGCCCAAAACACAGGACGCAGCTGGACTCTGCTCCCAGAATGGACTGACTTCAGCTTCAGGGATGACACAGAGACTCTGGGACACTTCTTAGGAAGGACACAAGGGAGGATTTTCAGAGGCTTTGGAGTAAAGTGTGGGTTTGCTTCTCAACTTTGCCCCTACTTGGGCTGTCTGCTTTAGAGTGGGGACAGCCAACTAGGCATGGTGGCTCACACATGCAATCCCAGCACTTTGGAAGGTCAAAGCAGAAGGATCACTTGAGCCCAGAAGTTTGAGACCAGCCTGGGCCACATAGTGAGACCCCATCTCTACTGAAAATAAAAATTTTTTAAATTAGCCGGGTGTGGTGGTGGTACGTGTCTGGAGTCCTAGTTACTCAGGAGGCTGAAGCAGGAGGATTGCTTGGAGCCCGGGAGATCGAGGCTGCAATAAGCTATGATCACACCACTGTACTCCAGCCTGAGTGATAGAACGAGACCCTGTTTCAAAAAAACCCGAAGAAACAAAAATAGAGTGATAGAGTAGGGACAGTGCCTGTCTCACATGGTCACGGTCACCTTCTTGTGCCTCATCCTATTCGTCATCCTCAGAACCCCTACACATACACTTCTGTGGGATCTGTCTGCCCTGCTAAAGCACAAGTTCCAGAGGTGCAGGAGCCTTTCTGTCAGATTCATGGCTGTGTCCCCCCATTCCTGGCTGGCACATGTGTGCCATCCTAATGGATGGGTGTGGGGAGCCTGCAGGAGCGTCAGTGGCCCATGGTCACTGCCTTCCATGATCTGTGGGGCAGGGAGAGAGCTGGCTCCTCCCATGCAGCAGCACCCATGGACAGAACCACAAACCACAGCGACATGCTCCTGAGAGGACTGCTATAGGAAGACAGTTCTAAGAATCAGGGCTCCCTCCGAGCATGCAGGAGTTCCTGCGCTGGTCTAGTCAGCCTGGGCGGCTGGGGAGGACACGCCCAAGATGGATGGACAGTGAGTTCTGGGCTCTGTCCCGTGGACCTCCACCAAAAAAACGGTTCTCTGCCTGCACCCCTCCATCCTCGTTCTGGGCAGAAGGCTGCCTTCTGAGGGCAGATTCAGGGTTGAGGGAGCTGGTTCACCTAGGGGACTCCTTCCTAAATTGTGGGGGCAGCTGAGGAATTGTCCTGCTCCACCGGTGAGAATAGTGTTCTAGTGATGCATGGCTGGGAACTGCGGGGGCAGGTGCTGAATCAAAAGCCCTGGGCCTGAGTCTCTTTTTAACTGTGTCACACAGCACGAGGCCTCCGCTCTGAGTTTCATCTTCCTTCCTCACAGAATGGGCTCAGCACAGCCTTCATCTACTTTCCAGGATGGACGCAA